ATTAAATTTAAATTCTATGTAAACATTTCTTGGTATAAATATGAATTTATCATTTTGTTCAATTTTTAGTTTATATTTAAAAAAATATATTTTTTGGTATAGATATGAAAAATTCTATATTTTTATAATTTTATTTATACAATTATATGGGCCAAATCGGAACAAACCGCGACCTGTGACTCACATGGGCTAGACTAAGATGGGTCAACGGACGGGTCTGGATTGTAATCCAAAATTTGTGGGCCGACCCAGAGCTGGCCCGAAACCCGTAGCGGGAGCCCTTTTTTCACGCTGGCCGTTATTGGGCTCATATATTGGCGGGCCGACCCGGACCACCAGGATTGACACCTCTACTTTGAGCCTCACTTTTTTTTTTAATAATGCATTTTGGAATAGTAAATTGATGGGGAATGTGTTGTTAACAAATAAGAAAATTTTTAAGATTTACGTGTAATGTTATTTTATTGAAGTATGCGTGATTAAAAAGAACATAGAGATAAATGTATTTTGGAAATAATGGAAATCAAACAAAGGCTTAGTCCCTGTTTGGCCTCCATTAAATTATAATCTATTTTCCCCTATCTTCTTATCAACCACACATTCTTCAAAAAATTACTATTTTTCTAATTATAATGTAGAATAATTGGGGCGAAACAGCCGCTTAATGTTGTCCCTTCTTTTCAAATCCCTCCTTGTGGATTGCAGCTCATTTCTTTGTTTTCGCAAAGTATAATCTATTTGGTTGTTTAATTTCAAGACATTGGCATCGCATATAAATTGTAATCTGTTCTAAATTCAGTCTCACCTAATAAAAATCAGAAACTATTTTCCATGAAAAAAATCGTTTTATGCTAGCCAAGAAAAAAAATTGAAACTTTGGTGGTAATAAGTATCCTTCATTTAATAATGTACAAAAATGAATCAGGGTTTCGTAAGAGCATAGCTGTATATAAATCCAGTAGGCCTATTCTTTGAACTGCATACGAAGAGAGGCAAGAACTAGCAGCAATGGTGGTGAATGTTGATGAACCGGAATATGCTTCAAGCGTGTAATTGTTTGCCTGGTCGAGAAAGAAATTGAGTTTGAGGTTTTTGATATCGATCGCTTCAAAGGCGAAAACAAAAGCCCTGACCTGAGTATCTGAAGTTGCAGGTATTCTTCTCCTATTTTTCACTTTCTTCCCTATGAACATTGTTGGGATTCACTCTGTCATCTTGCAAACTTGCAAACTCTTGCAGCCTTTCGGGCTTCTTTTTGCCATCTAAGATGGAGACTACACTTTATATCGTAAAAAGGCTCAACTCTTTACTTATGTTTGATACACTCTACTCGACATGACAGGACTAAAGAAGAAAAATATTTAAAAACCTAGTACTTCTTATTTTGTGAAGAATATCTAGGTCTATAATCAAGTACTATACATAAAAGTACAAGTCTCAAGGAAATAAACTGTTTGGAAAGACAACGGAGGAGAAGGGAAAAGAACAACAGTGGTTAGAAGTAGAAGCGCACAATTTTCACCCCCACTTTACACCTTAGTGCTTCATATAGTTTTCAGCTCCAAAATGGGAATCACACCAGATCAAAAAGTCATTCGAGAAAACGAAATGAAACTGTGGAAAGTTTTGGATCTACGAGGAAAGGCTGTCAACAAGCAAATAATTGGCCAGAGTTTTCTTCGGCCTAGTTGATCTTAGCCATGTTCCATTTGATTATTACATGTTGATGGTGTTGGGAAATGGTACATAATAAGGGACATGAAACATGTGAGTGCATGGTTGGAAGTTATCGGCAATAGGCCATCCTGGAAAAAAGTTGTACAACGCTTTCCTTGTCCAATTTGAGTTGCATCAATAAGCTTTTAAGGCTTCTGATAATAACGATTTCAGCATTTCATGTCGCAACAGTCTGACAAATATTAGTGCTTTCTTGAAGTCCTTTCTGTTGTTCCAAGGTGTATATGATAGCGAGAAAATGTTGTTAATGTGATCAAACGAACAAAGTTTTAACTCGCAGAAGCGTAGTTAAAACACAATGTTTAAGAGGTTGGAAAAATTGCAGTATTGTAACTACAAATGAAAACCAAAAAAAAAAATTAAGTAGTCGAAGAAGTAGGAAATGATAATCCAAGGCAAGTGATGACACTTTCTCCTTAAGACAATATTGCCCCACTACGATGCTCAGGGTTGTTGGTACTTGTCTCCCAAAATACAACGGATTCAATTCTTGTGGTAGCAGCACCGCAAACCACAAGACAACGGCGAATGTGACGAAATTCCCTCTCTACAAGGAAAACGGTTTTGGAATGAATTTGGGAGAGTTTTTGCAAGATATTTCATGAATGCACAATGTACATATGGTATGGAATGCAAAAGGGATGTCTAAGGTCCTATATATAGAGGATGAGGGGTTGTGAATGAAGTACCGCACCCAAAACTCGACAACTCTTGCCAAAAGGTCGCATCATTCACTGTCGCTAGCCTATCGTCATTGCCTCGTTCGAGCGATAAAAACATTGACCTTGTCGCTGGCCCGTCGCTCGAGCGACCGCCCAGCGATAAGCTAGCAACATAGTTATTTTTCAGGCAGTTTCCTCTATTTTCTTTCCAACTTTGGACTGCAATTTCTCATTCATCCGAAATTGATTTTGAGATTCCAAATATACCACGACGATCTATTCGATGAATAGGACACGTTAGGCTATTTACATTTTTAATTTGACCATCGGATCAAATCCGAATATTTGGCCGAAGTTGGCACGAAAGTCACTTTTTTCAAGTTTTGATTTTATTACTTAACCAAATTTCAATCTTTCAAAACCAAATTCCAACATGTTCTGGTCCCGTTTTGTGTTGCGTTGGGTTGGTGGGTTAGCTTGTGTGCTTGTATATGTGCTAATGAAGTTTGTGATATGAAAACATAAGCAGCCTCCAACTTCTTATGATAGCAGTGTTCATTTTACACCTTGACAGCATTTCAAGTTCGAAAATTTTGGTGTACATGTAGTCACTGGCAGACTATAAAATTAAAGATCAGGTCTGTGAACCTTAGAACTAAATTTAGTCACTGGTGATCGAACATCATGGTTCCCTAAAAGTACAGTTTTCCAGAGACGAGAGAAGTACAAGCACGGACTTGAGTCACAGAAGAAGGGACTAGTTGCAACAAGAAAGAGGGAACGTGGTGTTCTACTTTTGTCCATGCTGCGACAATTCAACTGTCCCAGAGTTTGCTAATTGAAATTAAAGTTTAGTCCCAATCAATTTTTTCCTAAAGCGAGCATATTGAGTTACCTAACTTCCTCAGAGTGACTTACTCTCTCATCCCCTACGCCAAACCATGAAACACACTACCATATATTCCAATGAAATAGATGTCACCATGATTCATATGCTATTTAGTTTATAGGTCTTGCCAACTCAATCAACATCAATTACATGACATACAAGGTTCACAAGCATATAACTCATGCTGCATTAAGATTGTCATAACCACAACTATTCTTCAATTCCTTTTTCCAGTTTATATTACAGAATTCAGATATAACAATTTATCACTAGACATTAAGCTGGAAGAAAAAACACTAAGACTGTATCAAGACATACAAAAACATTAGGGATTTCATATTTCTGCAACATGGAAGTCATTTCTTTCAGACGTTGGATAGGGATGCCAATGCAGGTGATACAAATGGAAGCCAAGTCACTGCACTGAAGAACATTAACATTAGTATCAAGGATGTTGTTGAAGATCAAATGATGGTATAGGAACATGCACAAGTCATGGATTCAAGTCTCTCTCCAACACCTATTTATGAAGAGTGTGGGTGTGCTGGAAAAATAATCCAATCTGCATGTGAGGTAGCATGTTCAAGACTTTGGCGAGGCTTTTGCTTTTGATAGAAGTGCTTCCGAAAAAGCCATATTGTGTCAGCTTCATGTAAAAAGCTCTTCTAACCACACAAAGCAATTCTAGAAGATTTTGCAAATAGGTCCAAGCACAACTTTTTAGTCTCAAAAACAACTTTTGATTTTTCAAAAGCCTGCCAAACAACCCTAAATTTATACGTAGAAATTTGTCATCTAAATTTTTTATGAGATGGTTAATGAGATAAAGTAAAGAGTTAAGTTTTGTAGAAGGCATAATTACCATCGTACCTCCCATTTATGATTGAAACATCTCGTCTAGTCTCTGCCTATATTGGGCCAATCTCTGCAATTATATATTAAGAAGGGAAAAGAAAAAAGGATCATAATTCACACAAAAACATAGTAATAAAAATAGAGAAGGTAGTTCAACATAAATAAGTGAAAGGAAGTCAACTAGTTCTCCGTGGTGTGGGTTGCTTTTGCATTATTCAATTATTCAAAGGTTCTTGACATTTCGGAAAAGAAATAAAAATTGATGTCAAGGAAAAATCATACACCAAGCTAACACAATAATCAAGGAAATTCACTTTTCCAGGTGTTCAACATATTAGCTGGAACAAGAGACTTTGTAAAAGAACTTTTGCAGTTAATAATATGGTCACTAGTGTTCTCCATTAAACAATATGCATCAGTCTAAATAAGTTGACTCGGGTATTGTCAGAACCTTTTAACCAGAAAAAATTATCGAATTTCTATTACGTGACATATTGTTCACCATCAGAATCAGGTAGAGTTACCCGGAATTGAAATCATATATGGAATTGAAATGAATTTTTTTTTATACGAGGTTTTGTTCAATCATGAATCAATATAGAAATTCAAATTGGAGTCGAAATTAAAATAGACATTTTACCGTTATACAAGGGCTTATGAAATGCATAATTTATTTCATTTGTTTTATTTCAAGTAAAATACATAATTTAGTTACCTGATAGACATAAATATGAACATTCAAAGGATAAAAAGGGCTTACACATGTCAATATTTATTTAAATGTTCTCGCACACTCAGTTGAATGAATAACACTGAGACCTCTTAGCCAGAAGAAAATGAGAATTTGCGAACAATTTCCAACTTCAAGACCAAAATAGTAATTACAATGAGTGATGTTTAGTTCACCAAGGGAATCATATGTCTGATATCTTGGAATTGGAATATGAATGAAAAAAACACCCTACCATGTTTCATTCAATCACGAATAGTCACACAAAAAAATTGGGTTCGAATTTGAGTTAAAGTCAAATCACCAACATTTTCTTGTTATACACTGATTTAAAATACAGATCTCTCTCTCTCTCTCTCTCTCTCTCTCTCTCTCTCTCTCTTCCATTTATATAATACAAAACTTAGCTACCTAAACGACGTAAAATTATGTATACTTCTTCAAGAGTATAAAGAAGGAGCTCCAAATGTATGAACTTTACTCAAAGGGGTACAAATTGAAGCATATCAAATGATATTGGATATTTATTTTTTATTTTTTGTAATTCAACTCAAATTCAGTCTAGGACATGAAAGGACTTTGTATCCATAAAACTTTCTTTAGACATGTGAACTTTCCTGAACTCAATACTAGCAGAGACAAGTGAAATTTGGTTCCATGTTTTCATGTAGAATTGTCAACACGACCCCACATTCATACCTCTCAATTAGAGTATAGTTCATTTTTCTCCTAGAAGAGTAATAGACATATGATGGAAGACTGGATGAGCTTGAGACTGAGGGAGCATGTTATCCATCAGAAAGGTTTTCGACGCTCCTCACTTCATATTTCATTTCAATTAATCAATTTTGAAGGTAAACCTTGGTTTGTGTAGAAAACTGAAATGAGTTCACATTCGTATATGAACCAGATCTCTCAGGAGTGATGTGTTTGTGGGAAGGGGAAGAGACTAGTTTTAGCATCATGTAAGTGACTATGCATTTTACAATGTGTGGATGGGAAGAAGGAACAGATGGTTGGGTGGCCAACTTCCTTGTGGTGAGCACCCGTGATGGTGATGAGAAGATACACACATCCACCAATCAGGAAGTTTGTTGGGGCTGTAAATTCTTTAACTCATTCTAAATAATACTTAAAATGGTAATGTGGGTTGAATTTCAATTTTGCTGTATCCCTTTCCGGGAAGAGTTGGATCCTAGATTTTGATTCTTATTTCTGATTGTAAACCTATCTAACGTAACCAATTAACCTTATAGCTCCAACAGAAAAATCCTGATCTTCAAAAATATTAAGCAAAAGAAGCATTTGATTGGCACATTATCTCCCAATTGACATAAAGAACAAATGCCCATAGTCATATAATAGAAGGTGAAAATGTAGAATTTCTACAAGCAAATCAATCACCAGGAAATTTACGAAGAAATAAACAAAGATATTAAAACATCACATGGTTTTTCATCATAAATACATTGAAAATCATCTGCATCTAGTGGCGTACTGGTGCTCATCTCTCTTGGTGTATGACATAGAAAAAGTTATGTACCTTAGTATAAGCATAAACACCCGCTTCGGTTGGTGCAACTGGACTACCTCGGCGAATAAATTGTCCCTCTTTTAAAATGTAAAGCATTGGTATCCCGGTTGAAAGTTCCAAGCTAATAACCTGATAACAGGAACAATCTTTTATGTTCTAAGCAAAAGAAGTGAAAACAAAGCAAATAGCATGTTTGGCTAAGCTTAAAAGAAAGCTTAAAAGGTTTACTTATAAGTGAACTCACTTGAAAGTAAATAAGTAAGTTTTAAACTAAATAATTATTTTTATGGGTTAAAGTAGGGAATTATTTCTTTTGACAGTAAAATAAGAGTTACATTCAAAATAAATAATTTCTTTTTACTTAAAAGTGAAAAAGGAATAGCAACATATTCAAACATGTTTATAAAGAAAATTTTACATAGAAGTAACTTTCTTTTAAAGCTTAGCCAAATATGCTCAGAATCTGTTAGTATGAAATCTAACCTCTTGAGAAGTGAGTTTGTCCAGATACATAATGATTGACCTCAACGAGTTCCCATGAGCAGCAATCAGTACATTTTTCCCACATTGAAGTTGAGGTTCAATCTGTTTCACCAAAAATTGATTATGAGGACCATGAATAAGCAGAAAACCACTCTTACCTAAGGAAGAATGTAATCATGCTTACGTGTTCTTTAAAGTAGGCAACGGCTCTCTGAGCACACATTTCAAGGCTCTCACCGTTTGGCGGGGGTATATCATAACTACGACGCCACTCATGAACTTTCTCCTTTCCAAATCTTTCAGCCGTTTCCTGCTTATTAAGACCCTGTAATTCCCCGTACCTATGGATAACTCATAGGTTAAACACCATATAATGTGGCCAACAAGTAAAGAGTCAGTGTATAGTTGCAAATGTTATATATTACATTCTTTCATTCAATTGCCAAGCCGTTATAACTGGAATGCACTGCTTGTTTGTATCTTCACTGAAAATTTGACTCCATGCTCTTGCTCGCTCACTCTCGTCATGCAAAATAATCGGCACCTGCATATCGGTACATAGGTTTGTTAAAAAAGGTGCAAAAACCATATATTCTTTTCGATTTTCTAAACCCTAAAGTTTTGGTTAAATAAGATGATAATGTAAATTCATCTTTAGAGTGCATGTTTCCTTAAATATTTGAGAAAAAGGCCTGAAACGTGTACAATTTTTATGAAAAAGTGGTGGTAAGACTTGAATGCAGACACTTGCCTATTGTAACACCATGTTGAAAAACTTTATCTAAAAGTTTTTAAGCTGTTAGAGACAATCTACACTTATTTATTTAGATTTAGACTTCAACAAGAACACATTTGACAATTTACCTTTTTACGACGGTGTTCAGTCATGGCAAGCATAGCGGTCATCTGTGCACGAATTAATGCAGATGTATATATCATGTCGATTGGTATATTGCTGATTCTTTTGCCAGCTTCAATAGCCTCTTCCACACCCTTTTTGGTCAGTGGCACATCTACACAACCCGTGAACAAGTTCTTCTCGTTCCACATAGATTCACCATGCCTTATCAAGATCAATGCTGCTTCACCTAAAAAAACAATGAGAAAAAACTTTATCAAAGAACTTACAAAAAAGAAGGCCTTAATCACCTTCACTTATTAAAAGCATGGGCCTTTGTGAATACTTGTTGTTTTCATTTTTTCACATTAGTAAATGTTTAGCACGCAGCTTCATAGGACTGGACAATATAACAAACAAAATTTTAACTTTCTTTTTTTTTCTTCCTTAACATTGCCCCTACCATGAAATCCTTCCTAACAAATATGCATCAAGCGTAAATCCAAAAGAAAGAGGTTTACTTGGTTTCTTTTTGGAGTCACTTTTCGTGCCATTCGACGGGTATGAAACTGGATCAAATACCGTACTGTGAGAAGTTGATGCTTGAATAATGCTAAAACTTCTCTTTCTAGAGCAGTAAGTTCCAATTCTCAACAGAGCAATATCCAGCTTAAAACCCTTGGAGATCAACCGAAATGAATAATTCCCATTCATTTGATTGAGGTTGGCGTTGCTACAGCAACCACTATATTGAATAGTTCCGATTGCTTGATGAAATGATGTTGCAGCCATTCTGAAGTGAAATCAAATGGAATGAGTTCATGTTACTTACCAAAGAACCTGAAATTTAATAAATTTCATTCCATAAAAGCGTAAATCATAAAGTTTTGAGGGTTGCATATTTTGAATTTTCCAAAGGAAGAAAGGCAAAAATAGATAGAAATAGTTCACTGTCAAAACCTGTTCAGACTTGTACAAGCATTGCAGATATGATACACCATGCACATGTTTAGTACACAATACCGAACAAAATTAGAATTAGAAAAAGACCAGATTTGAATTTATTTTTCTTGTTTAATCCTATCTAGTCTTGTCAATAATGTTGCACTAAACATAATCTTAAGTTTTGATACTTTAATAGGAAAACCATAAAAAGAGGGCACTTTTATTCTCTGTTAATTGGCCAATTTGAAGGAAGTAGAAATGAATTTGTAGCTTCTCAAACAATATCCAACTGTACGCACACACACACACACACATGCTTATGCTTTTACCCACAACTTTTTGAAAATGCAGTTACAAAATTGAAAATCAGACGGAGCAGCCATGAAATTTTCATAAACGAATTAAATCAATATAACACTGACAATACTATATTTGCAAGAAATGCACTCCACTATTATTACATGGATATTATCAAAATAACCAATAAACGAATATAATGGCCAAACCAAAAGCAAAATAAATTCAGATCTGACAAAAGAAAAGCTAAAGACCATAAAAACAAGAAGCCCAAATATAAATATTAAATCAAGAAAAAACACTATTCCTCAGTTGAATATTATATCAACCAAAGATAAAACAATCAAGAAATGGGTATTTCCACAACAGGGTTAGGATGAAAAGGAAACAATCATTAAACAACCCATATTCTAAAACTTGAGAACATTAAACTTACATTAACAAACAGCCAAAAAAAAATAGAAGACAGGAACAAACAAGAAAACTGTAAAGTTGGGTAAAATAATAATAGAGAAACTTACATTTATATACACATAAAATAGGGATCAAGAGTCAAATACTTGTCGACGAGGGTGGCGAAGAAACCGAGGCCAAGAAAGAAAAAATCAAGGTTTATTACAAGAAAAGGTGGCGGAGAAAAAGTTGCATCATACCAACATTAGTACAAGTATAATACTGGTGAAATGGGAATCTGAAATGACTGAAAAATCAATAACGGAGAGATGGTGATTGGAAAGGTATGTTCTTGTGCATTCTTAGAAGAAATCGATACAGGGTTGTTGGGGGGTATGCATATCCTGCAAAT